CAATACTCTGTCCCTTGAATAGAAATCTGCAGAATCATTGGAAGAACTCATAGCCATTCTACACGACGCTGTTCTGCCAACGTTACAGATAGTATGATCAGGTTATGAGATTGAATTCAAAACATTTGAAGATTCAATAGCCTGATTGCTTGCTGTTGCAATTAAACCGAAAAATAGAAAGTACAATTTGTGTTGACCAGTGTTTCGCCAACAATCCGACTAAACAATAGTAGTGGAAATTTTATACACTGACTTTCTTTCTGGTAGACTGAATGACAGCTTTTTAAACAGATAAGAATATGCCACCATATTACGTGAACTTAGACTTCCGAAGATTATCCATAATATATCCTTATTTTCCTTATATTAACATTTCCTTCGATTAACTCAACAAAAACTCAATGATACCTTATCTGACATGCATTTTAGGTGATGAGAAAATTGTTAGGTATGCAATTACTTGCTGGGAAACAGTAAATAAATACAAATCGTACTCAATGAAGCAAATACATGCACTCTTCGTGATCTTCTAGATCTATCAGAATTCTCAGTAACTTCCATGTAGCTATGCTTTCTCTAGTAGACTTTTGTTTATTGTAGTTTCATTGCCCCCCCCCTCTTTTCTCTGCATTTGTGCATGTTTAATGAAGGGTGGAAACTGTTTGATTTATTTTTATTTATTTAAACGCATAAGAACTTGGTACAATATGGCACCAAGAAGGATGCGCCACACAATAATAATAAAACAACATAGATCAAAAGTAAAAATATAAGTAGAGAACGGATGAAGAACTTCATCTGGAAGGAAAACAGTCATGCTTAACAAGTTCAAACAGTATTCGTTAACTATCATCGGGAAGGGAAGAAAGAATGAAATTGCAACACGTTCGCCATTGATTACGATTCTTGGCCATATCTGATAACGTCTCGAGCTATCTCGAGGAACCCAACCAGGGAATTGTGACGCACCAACCGATCCTAATCTAGCACAAACATCCTTCATCCCACGACGCCACGTCATGGACTTACCACCCTTCGCCCCAGGGCTGGCTACCGAACAGAGACCTGTACGGAAGTCTCTGGGATGACATTCGCAGCACATGTACAAGCCACCGGAGCCGCTGTTTCCAGATGACGACACTCAATGAATGGTGATCTCCACTGTGTTCAAAAACACGCCGCCGAACCTCAGAATTACTCACGCCATGATGCCATCGAACGCAAGCAATCCTGAGAATACAGCGATGATCGAAAACGCAGAGCCACCGCACATTCTCAGCTCGGAGGCCAGGTTTTACAGGCGTAGAGCAAAACAGCCCACACCGAAGCATTGCATACCCAACCTTTGACAGCCAGGCTAACGTTACGACGGCGCCAGAGGTGGCTCAAGTTGATGTATGCCACCCTAGCCTTCATTATGCGGTTGGAAATCTCATCCGTCACCCCTCCCTCCGCCAGCACTCACACAACTACCCAGATACACAAACTTATCAACAACTTCAAGCGGTTCACTCGCAAGAGTGAGTCCAGGTACAGGCTCCCGCCAATCTTGTAACAGTACTTTGCACTTAGACGGCGCAAAGCACATACCATACTTACGGACACTGATCGCCAACTGATTAAGTGCGATTTGGGTAGCCTGCATGCCAACGCACAGCAAGACGATATCGTCTGAATATTCGAGGTCGAAAAGTCTATCTTCAGGTAGCAGATCTACACCACCTTCACGCACATCCTTCAGAGCTGACTTCAAAGTGCCATCAATGGCAAATTTAACGAGAAATGGAGGGATCGAGCAACCCTGTCTAACCTCACTGTTGGTAAGGAACAGTGATGATGGTTGGTTGTATGCCCTCACTCTACCCGAGGTGTTTCTGTAAAAGGCTTTCAAGATGTTAACAAATTTCTCAGGTACACCGCTCTCTAACAGACAGTTCCAGAGGACAGTTCTGTCCAACGAATCAAAGGCAGCCCTAATATCAAGAAACACAACGATCCTTGGCCTGCAATACGTGTGGCGGTGTTCTAACAACTGACGAAGTGTGAACACATGATCAATGCATCCACGACCTGAACGAAACCCAGCCTGCTCTTCGCGAATCAATCCTTCACGTATTTTACACAGCGTGCGAACCAAAACAGCAGCCAATATTTTAGACGCAACTGGTAGCGGACTGACACCCCTATAACTGCCACATGTATTACGTCGACCTTATTTAAAGATGGGAACGATAATGGCTTTGTTCCACACTCTCAGTCTCCCATGCCTTCCTGAATAATCCAGTTAGAGCCATTACGAGGGTCTCGCCACCATCTTTAAAAAGAGCAGGGGGCAAATTGTCCGGGCCGGGCGCCTTATGGCGTTTCAACACTTGGAGTTCCTTACGGACCTCCGCTTCTGTGGGTGGGTCGATACTAACCGACCAAGGAGCACTGGGGCTAATGACAGCAGATACTGAAGCTGGTGGCCGGCTAAACTATTTCCCGAAGTGTTCTGCCCAGCGTTCCCGGAGTCTTTTCAAGCTGGTAATTGGCGTGCTATCTGCCTCACAGACCGTCTCGCTGACACCTTGTTTCTTGCTGCCAGTGGCTCAGATGAGTTGGAACAGCTTCCAACTGTTGCCCGATGCAGCAACTGACTCCATCTCACACGCACGTTCTGACCACCAGGCTTCGCAGTCCTTACGTAAACACTGTCTAATCTTGTGCGTAAGCGCCTTTCGCTTATTGTTGTATTCGCTGCCAGTCGGAATGGACCGGTGTTCATCCAGGAGTTGCAAGGAACTCGCAGAAACCCAGTGGTTTTTAGCGGAGCATTCTTTCAAGCCACAAGCGGCGACACTCACTATTAGCATGGCACCTTGCAGATGACGCCAATGTTCATCTATACTACTTAGGGGGTTGCTGGCAAGCATTGATTGTCGCTCATTCTGATATTTCAAAAAAGTTGCAGGTGGTACAACTTTGCCCACATCAACGTTCAGACGATGCTTTTTATGAACCCCACCAAATACCAAGACGGACTTGGCACACACTAACGCATGATCAGAGTCCTGGCAAGTGCTCGAGAAGGAGCGAGTCTAGTTAGCATACTCGCCACCGGAGACTGACAGCAATATGATCAGGCTGAGTCCAAGCTTGACTTGCAGAGGGACGTCAGGTAGCGGTGATGGCTGTGCCAGAAGTTGGTGCTGGCTATAAATAGGTTGTGATCCGCGCAAAGCTTCAGAAGACGGTCCCCATTATCTGACCTGCGACCATGTAAGCCACATTGAGCACCTAGACGATTCTCCTCTGAGCTTAGACGCCCGACCTGTGCATTCAAGTCCCCAGCAGGCACTACGATACCCCTCCGTCCTGCCTGTTTCAAGAGATCCCTCAGTTGGTGGTAAAACTTATCCTTAATTGCATCCGGACTGCAATCCGTCGGTGCATAGGCAGAGACAACAAATAGACACCGCCTATCTGGCCTACTACTCCTTAATTTCGTATAACCTTCCAGCCTCTAGTAATGGGAATCCAGTCGAGCAATGCAGCTTCGGCTATAGCGCTCAGTGCGACGCCGGATGTCGACGTCACAGGCTCCCCGGACAAGCGCAGATAGTACATACTGCTATAACTTCCAAATAGAGAGGATAATCAAAGCACCTCACTGGGATCTTGAATGCGGGTCTCCGAAATACAGCAGACATCGATAGCGAGCCTTTCCAGTGTTCTTACTAACCCTGCCTGTTGTCCGATTCGCATCACCATCCGAACATTGTAGGTGGCCAGCTTGAATGAGGCAGGCGGTTTCAGGATATCTGTGTTAGATGTCGCATCGGGGATAACCATTTTGAGGGTTACTCACTAACGTCTTGAAACGACACAGATAGGTTGGAAATCCAGACAAAGGCGAAAGGCTGTCGAAGATGAAGTAGTCAAGGTTAGCAAAGATAAAATACAGGAGTCTATGTATAAAAATAAAAGTAAGGTTGGAAAGACATAAATTACTTGAGACATCATATTATTGCTTGAAAGCACTGTTACGAGCGCGCGATAAGTTTTACTGATAGTTTGTTGCTTCATTTCATTTATTGTGAGGGCTGAGATACTGCCCGGGCGCCCAGACCGAAGCAGGTGGTTTCATTAAGGGACCACCCCCCATGCCTTTGACTTGGAGTCTAATCTGCAAGGCAGTGGAGCAGCGTCAGGAGCTGCATTCCCATCGTTGCCGATGTCCAATGTAGGTGCATACACCATTTGATCCGACTGGACTCTGGAGCCCATGTAGCCCATGGTAACTGCTTTAAGTCTAACCGCTATCCAAACAACCTTCCTGACATGGTAGACCTGCAGGAACATGAGTCCCAGCCAGTTTACTTTGCTGGGTCACTGCGGTATTCAATCCCGACCACCACGGCAAGGCAGCAGTTGTCGGCCAGGCAAACTGTTTGAACTCCAATGCTGCACTTTTGCGCAAGATCCTACGCTTTGTGGAGTTTTACGCAACATTATTATACCAATTTCTAGCGTCATTTAAGAGTAAATGTGTCGATCACCACTTTCACGTTAAAGAAAATAATTACGATATTAAATATGAATAACTGATGAATATAAATTTGTATATTCAAAATAGTATCTTTACTGTTACTGAGCCTCGCTTAAGCATAGAATAAATGCATAACTGAAGATGACAAAAGGTATTGTCACAGCCGGATAAATGGCTCAATTACTGCAATCAAGTGAGAAGATTCGCCCTTTTTTATTTTTTTTAGTCTGTGGAAGATAAAATATAAGGAATAAAATTTGCAGCATTACACTTATTATTCATATAAAACAGGTAGTTTCCAAAGGAAGCTTGTCGGTAAGATGCTGTACAATATTTTGCAATCATCACTGCGGTTCGTGGAGTAAGGAGAACATATCAACAGTCACGATAGCACATCAAGACCTAGCCATGCCAGTAAATGAAAATGTCGGCCGAGGACGTTTCGACAAAGCTTTTTCAGCTTCATGTTTACGTTTAGCTTGAATTTCCTAAATAAGAAAAAGATACCAGAGAAAGCATTACACACTAGACAATATCTTAGTTAAATAAATAAATTAACAGGGCATAACATATCTAATGACATAAAAACCCTGTAGACAAGGTGTTCAGACGATTAACAGATTTGATTCCATTTGAATTGACCATCCAGAATACATGATTATTACTGATTAAAACACAAACTTGATACAATATAGGCATCAAGAGATGTGCCACATAAAATCTCATAGTTTATGCGAGGGCTGACATACTGCCCGAACACCCCCAAACAGAAGAAAGGCAACGACGATTTATACTAGGTCAATGGACCAATCAACGACCAGTAATCAAGAAGACAAAATACAGTTAAAGAATTGAACACATTATGCTGAAATATAAAATGGATACCTAATAGTTAGACGATGTTGAATTCAAAAGGTTGAAAATACACTAGTCTCCAGACTTCACCTAATAGACAAAATTACAACCAGAAAACAAGTCTCACATTTTTCATGCAAAATGACGAGGTAGATTTATAAAAAGTATTATCTACAAAATAAAACTGAGAATGTGAAACATTACCACTCTCATAGAACACCTCTTGTATTATTAATGTCATATCATCTAAGTGCATTTGTCCCACTGATGTTGTTTCCACTGACTAAGACATATTTCTTTATAAATTTCATAATCATTACATGCATACTGCGAAATACTTATCTCCTGATCCGTGGTCACTGGTTATAATCCTCATTCTAAAGTAATACAATTACTACATCACATGAATGTCATCAGTAATTTTCAGAAATAACTATGTATAAGCGTGCATTAAAATCGATGAGTTACTCATTTTCAGTTGCAACAACATGAAGATAAAGAATTTAAATGCCGTTTTCTTACAAGTGCGTAACTTTTTTTAAACTGTAGTAAGAAAAAAAGTATTTTCTTTAGTTACTATTCAGGTGTAAAACACCATCTACTCTGAGAAATAATTATTTCAAATGAATAAATATACTTTCAACACTCGCTTACCATGAGTTCTTCATGTTTTTCACGGAAAAAAGCTAAAGGATCATCGAACTCTCTGTAGTAGTCTAACACTAGACGAACATCATCCACACTACCCATAGCAATCACTAAAAGCAAAATAATCACATACAGGTGGCACAAGATGAATTTATAAATAAACTGGAAACAGCCTAAATACAATTAAGTATTACAAAAGGTCCTCGACAGTAATCATGACCACGTGTCTAATTCTTGTCCTGAAGCAACAACTTTGCTTAAAGCATTTTCTGAAATGGCTTACACATATAATTCACTTGCTATAAAATATAAACTTTATCCTGTTGGATTAGACGCAATCATTAAATGAAGAGAAATGAATCCATCTTTCCAGAAAAAAACCATTACATAAACTGTTCTTATGCATCAAATTTTATTGCGTTCGATGGATAAACATACTTTTTAACATGATACTTCTCAATGTAAGAGAAGAACCTAAACAGTGTGACAGAATTTGACCCCATATCATATATCTCGATATGATAAGCATTTGACTGAATCATCTCAAAACCCTCATCCAATAAATAATACTGCACGATTGCGTGCTCCATGAAACAAATATATTTAATATGGAATAAGACGTTACATTTTAATCCTATGACGAGGAACATGATACCATTCAATTCCTAGATGTTTCTCTAGTGAAAGGGATGAAATATAGACTCTGGTGGATATTTGATGTAAGAATGGATATCCTCAGAAGTTCACCAACAAATACATTAAGAAAGAAGCCCAGTAAATTATCCAAACAGTTTCAAAGAAAGCTGTATATATCAATTTGCCATTCAAAGGAAATGATGTACAAGAAGTAGTCAAACGAAGACTAGATAAAGCTATCAATCAAGAGAACGTAGTATGCTGCAAAACTCATGTTCTTTAACATCACCCATCGGGTACTTCAACAATCTGGGAAGACAAGTCACCAATTCTCGACACGGTCGTCACTCTGAATCCACCATGTTGATATGTTTTACTTAATAACTGTTATTACAATTATTATTAACACTTTATTCTCTTATTATTATTCCTGATTCATTTAAAACCATCCTTTATCAGTACCACTATCTTAAGTCGTTTTAACAATACTATCATCACTACTTTTGATATTATTCAGTTCGCAATTTTCGATATATCCAAGTCCTTTCTCTGATAACTAATTGTACATTTAGGTGATGTAATTGAAGCGTAATGCATTGTATCTTAATTTTAATTTCTCACACTCACTTTCCCTTATCTATTCGAACACTCGCTCCTGTTGTCTTGCATGATTGATCCAACGTAGTTTGTTTCTTATCAGTTTGTCTCTGTCTGTCTCTCTGTCTGGATTCAACACAGAACTTGGCACTGAAGTGCAACAGTTCGAGTTGCCACGTTCCAAATAACACACAAAGGTAGACAAGAAGATGAGTGAAAAGAATCAATAGAGATTGACAGGTATAAGAGCGAAACAGAATGGGTAATGGTAGAAAGGAATATGAAAGATCACAGAGACTGAATACATCTGCGCCATTGACAACGATTTTGAGCCATGTCACCTATTGTCTCCAGCCATTGATTCCTAGAGTCAGTCCCGAGGGCCCCAACACGGAAGTCTGCATCTCCCTAACTGACTCAGTTTAACTGTCAAGGATTTCATGGATTGATGCCATGTTTTTGTTTGGCCACCACTTACTCTTTTCCAACCTGTACCTATATCACCTAGTAATGCCCGTCGGGGGAGGCGATGGTTAGGCATGCACAGCACATGACCTAGCCATCTCAATCTATGTAACTTTATAGCCTCGTCGATTGATTTTCCCTCTTTCCCCAACACCCTACGCCTAACGTCAACATTACTTACCTTGTTATACCACCTAACGTGAGAAAGAGATCGTAGACATCTATGATCGAAAGCAGTCAATCTTTTCATGTCTTCAACTTGTATTGGCCATGTTTCAGAGCCATAGAGGAGGACGGAGCGAACTGCTGAGCAGTACACACGTCCCTTGGTTGATAGCCGGGTGTCAACGCCTACGCCAGAGATGGTGTAAGTCAGCGAAAGCAGCTCGAGCTCTTTGGATCCGTGCTGAGATTTCGTCGCCAATCACTCCGTTGGTGCTGATACAACTTCCCAAATAGGTGAAGTGGTCAACACGTTCTATCACTTCACTGCCTATCACTAAGCCAGGAGTTGACGTAGTCAGTTTGTATTGCCCAATATAATTCTAATGGTATATAAATATGCCTGTATGTACAGTATGCAGCTGAAGAGTTCTACTGAAATTTGGCGGATTCATTAAATCCTGCTTTATTAACCCCTGTTGCTTGTTTTGAGTTATAATAAAACTGGCCTATGAATGTGACATTTTATAACTAACCCCATTTGGTACAAAAAGTTAGAGCTCAAGAAGTCACCTTCGAATGTGATGAAAAATAAAGAGTGGATAAAAACAAAATGACAAGGTGTCACCTACCCAATTTATGACTACTAATACGTGCAAACAACAAGTATTATGATATTTGAACATTTGAACACCGAAAATACAAACTACACTTACTTCTTAAAAAGGCTGCCAGGTCTATCAGTTCCCTATCTGACTCCTCACCATCCCAGCGTTTTATGATCAATGAGTTGCGTGGCTGTAATTGGGCAGCAGTAAGATCCCAGTCTACGAGAACAACGCGAGACAAATCTCTGTTAAGACATGAAAGGTCTTTGATGTGTTTTCCTTCCTTATAACGAGTTGCTTCACGAAACAGTCGGTAGTGAATGTACTGTCCTTGCGGATCCATCTGAGCCAAAACTGGACCTCCCGTCTACGAAATATGTTATTGAAACACAACTTTTATCAGACATCACTGATAAACGAATGAGAAACTCGACTTAATAGCAATACACACAAAATAATTGGCAGAAAACATGAGAGTAACCTTACATGAGAAACAGCAGATGGACTCTGGTTCTCCTCTCGAAATTTCTTCACCTGGCGGCGTACTCACGAACTTAGATAAGAAATTTCCATCCAGCCTCCTGTAAAAGCTGTCTGCGCATACGTAAAGTGCTGAGACAGAATATGTCTTTTACACCTGAAAGCTCAAAGAAGTACCTAGCTTCCATGAATACACATTTGAGATAAATCAAATATGCTTCCGTACACAACAGGCATTAAATACAGCAGAGGTTCCCACATCATTACACGTCCTAACTTTCAAAAGTAGGAATTCGCACAGGCATACATAAGTTCGGAGTTGAACCAATGTGAAAAAATATACACAGAGTGAGATGTGAGAAACATTATGTTCTTTCAGAAAGCCACTATGTTTCCGACTAATAGAAAAACTAGACAGCAAAAGGTGAGTCCATTTAACTATATGAACACACTCAACTTCAGGTCACATTTCATATAATATGAGTGAAACGAGTTAAACCTCTAATCCAGCATTTAACCATACTCCACAGAAAAGCAATTTATTTTGTCCCACATACCATTATGAGGTACTTACTTACTTTACTTCGGCTATCTCCTACGGGAGGATGAGCCGGCTTCATGAACGTCTCGAATCATCGCTGCCCAGGCGCGGCGATCTGAAGCAAGGTTTTGTGATAGGGATATCCAATTCTTGTTCCACATACGGAGTCCGTAGACCGTTTGTAGCCCCAGGCACTCCATATCTGCCTTGACTGTACCAAGCCATGTCTTCAGCTGTCCGCCTCTGCGACATCGCCAAGATGGTAATGGCGAGGGATTTAGAACTGATTTGACCAGATCGTCATCTGGTCGGCGCAGAACATGGCCAAACCACCGAAGGCGGCGTTGTTGGACCAGTACTGGAATTTGGTTGATGTTGTAGCAACGCCGACGCACTTCTTCGTTGGAGAGTTTGTCCTGCCAACGAACATGCAGAATGTACCTGAGACACCAATGGTCTAATACCTCGAGTCTGCGTAAATCTTCCGCGCGAAGAGGCCAGGTTTCACAGCCATACAGCAGAACGGGTCGTATGGAAGCTTGGTAGATCCGAATTTTAGTCCTGAGACTGATTTCTCTCTTGCTCCATAGAACGCTCCTCAGCTGTAGAAACGCATTCCGGGCGTTGGAGATTCGCGCATTCACTTCGTTTTTCGCTTGGCCGTTGGGGAGCATTATGGATCCCAGATATCTGAAGGATGGCACAATTTCAATAGGTGCTCCATTTAAGGATAAGATTTCATCATTGCCGGCGGATGTGTTCGAAAACATTTTGGTTTTGGAAGTGTTAATTTTCAAACCGATAGTAGACGCGAGGTGGTTTATCTGGTCGAGCGCCTGTTGCATATCGGGGAAGTTTTCAGCTAACAGCACGACGTCGTCGGCGAATTCGAGGTCGGTTATGTGAATATCGGGCGAAAGTTGGACGCCGTGGTGCTCGGTTAGGGCGTGCCGCAAAATCCAATCAACTGTGAAATTGAACAGGATGGGGGATGCTGGACAACCTTGCCGGACACCGCTGGTTACCTCAAAAGTGCGGGACTCTTCACCGTTCACTCGGACTCGAGCTTTGGTGTTGGAGTAGTATGACCTGAGCAGGTTGATTAGCTTGGTCGGAACTCCGTCGAGCTCCATTAGATACCAGAGTGCTCCTCGATCAACTGAGTCGAATGCCGCTTGGAAGTCGATGAAGCAGGCAACCGTCGGCTGTTGGAATTTGTCCCTGTGTTCCAAAATTCTTCGCAGTGTGAATAATTGATCAACACAGCCTCTTCCAGGTCGAAATCCGGCTTGATTTGGCCTTGTTCGCACGTGGCGTTCGGCCGCGAAGCGGTTCAGGAGAATGGAAACAAAAACCTTAGCAGCGATATCAATCAGACTTATGCCTCGGTAGTTCTCGCATATTGACCTGTCTCCCTTTTTGTGGAACGGTAGCAGAACTGAGGTGCTCCAATCGGAAGGAATGGTTTCGGACTCCCAAATTGAGCAGAACAGCGAGTGCAGTGCATCGATTAGCGCTGGAGTGCAGGCCTTGTATATTTCTGGGGGTAGACCATCTTCGCCCGGAGCTTTTTTGTTTCTGAGTGTAAGTGTTATGAGGTAAGCTTGTTGGAAGCAAAATATTTTGAAATAGGATTCTTATTCATTTAAAAATTCGTTAAACTGAACGTCTTAAGCTGGAAATGATTAGTGACAATGACTTTGGGGGTGTAGCGAAAGATATATAAGGAAAGTCAATTATTCACCTAGTAAAACCTCATTGAAAGATCCTTAAAACAAATGCTATGTATGTGTAACCACCGACTTCATCCATGAAAATGTTAACTTAAGAACTGAGCTGTAAACTGTTTAAAAGTGGCTAGAACCAACTAACAGACAAGGCAGATACAAAGACAGCCCAAATGAGAACATCTAGATAACAGAGATGAGTGACTAGAGATTCTTCATGACACCATTCAAAATTAATCACATCAGTGCAAGTGTTTCTTATCATTGCCATCTAAAATACCGAAATTCCACAGTAATAATGGAATTGTCCGCTTGAATGAACACATAAATTTCTGAAAAATTATCTTCGCCCTGCTTCACAGTTCTATGTGCTTGACCGAAGCGTGATAACTTGAAGGAATCTACTTCTTTCTGAAGTTATTGGCTGATTGGCTAGTCGGTTCATCGAATTCAACTCACTGTTCTCACCATTTGAACATGATTAACGTCCATCTGTTCAGTGGAATTGTTCGAGCACAAAGTGACCGACAAAGATACACAGAACTTTGAACACATGTGGATCAGTTTGACTAGCCATAATTGAGAGAAGTGCATATGAAGGAAGAGAGCAGAGGTGAAATTCTACTTAAATGGATAGACGGAGGTGTGATGAGGAAAACAATTCAATGAAGATTACAGGAGGTATTCAGAATGTCACAGAGACATGATGATGATGAGTGAGTTGTGCGGTGGGATTTAGTGTCACCCCACCAATATCGGGTCTCCAACCAACTAACTCTCAGCATTCTCGAGATCTCAACTAGTCAACGTATACCAAACTCTTGTCCTTTAGACTAACAGTCCACGACTTGATGGACTGATGTCGCATTTTGGTCTGACAACCCCTGACTCCCTCTCAGCATCACTCACTCTACTTCAATTAACACTGCCCTTGTCGAGGAAGACAATGAGTGACTTCTTATGCGCAACAGATGTGCTAACGACCCCGATCGATGCCGCTTAACAACTTCATCGACTGTCTTTCTCTGCTGCTTATCTACCAGACACATTTGTCGTCAGAAAGCTAGCTCTATTCCTCTCATATCTTCTAGCTTCGAAGTTATCTATGCTTGACAGATGTGAAGTAAGATTTCCCAGAGAATGAAGTCATCTGCATTTCATTCCATTTGATTTCACTTTATTGTCTATTTCGTGCAGACCAATCGTGCGGCATAATCTGTGATTTCACGGTGACCAACCGTATGCTAAGCTTGTTCAGATTTTAGTTGCTCACAAGCTGTTCTCAAGACTCTTCATTTTATCGGCGTCTTCACCTTGAAATTCTATATCGTATGTGTTCTCTAGGTAAAGGAAGTCTTTCTGTGACAATGGGTCAATAATCCTGGATACACCACACGTGAGTCAATCACAATCACATACATTTGTGCACCTATAATACGATTAAATAAGAAGGCTGACTGACATTAGGCGTCCCTATCAGACAATACTGGTTGTCAGCACTTATGAAAAATCTGCATAATATCCAACGTGGTGGAATCAGTTGGAGTGGAATATTCCGACTGGAGGGGTGACAAGCAGTTTCTGAAATCCTAAGCACGTACATTCAGCAACAGTTGGCGGTCTAACTTCACAGCTGCGACATAGTCACTGTAACAGTTTTTCTCTTTATTAGAACTGAAAAACCTAAAATAGATTTGTTTCACGCACCATGATGCGATCTACATTAGTTGTTGAACGACTTATGATACTGATCATTCCAGCCTGATGTAGGTGGATGGAGACCGGAGTTTAGGTACCTAGTTGAATGAAGTGATATTTTTAATCCAATAAACCAAATCTCAACTTAACAACATCTCCCTTCCTAATTGTGGTAACTTGAACTGATTCAGTTGTCTGTGAATGCTTTCGCTGACCCATTAGCCAATCAATTTAACTTATCATACTAACAAGAAGCACCAATGATTATCAAAAAAGTAAATTTGAAGTTTACTTGCTTCACTTATATTAGCAGGATCGTTTCAAATACATGCACATGGAATGGATGAGGATGTCAAAACTAGAATCGGAAGGGCAGGACAGACCTTCGACACAGTGAAGTCAGTTTAGAAATCTTCTGCACCCCGAACAAAACCATAAAATTCGGATTTTCAACACCAATCTTAATTCATTTCTTCCAGATGGGTCAGAAACCTGGCATGTGTGTTACGAAAAGCATTTCCAACAGCCAGCTGCAGACTTTTATCAACAGCTATCTTCGATCCATAGTGAAGACCAGATGGCCAGGAAGAATTAGCAACAGAAAAAACTCTGGAAATGAACCAATGAAGAGCCTATTGCTCAATGGGTACGACGATAAATATGCAGCTGGATCGGACGCACGATGATGAGACCATAAAGCAACACGTGCCAGGCCCTCGAGTGGAAGCTGAACGGGAGACGACAACTTGGGCGTCTGGGGATGACATGGAGTTCGTGTCATAAGATGAAAGTTTGTGTCAAACGTTGGGCTACCTATAGAGGACCGCAGAAAACAGGACAACGTGAAGACGTGTTGTTGATGCCCTATGTTCCACGCGGAACCCACGGGAACAATAAATATAATAATATACACTGGAGCTATTTGTTTAGTTCCATATTAGGGTTAGAAGTAAATTAAACAGGGTCCCAGTTGCTACTTGGTCTAGTGGTGTAGTTACCATATCCGCATTCACTCATTTAATGACCATATTTCGGACAAATTGAAGAATAATGTTTAGCTAGATAGTTCAATGAGCAACTTCAACCAACACGTCGAAAGTCTAAAATAAAGATTTGTCTTCGTACTACATAAGGAATTCTGATTGAATGAACATTCAAAGGTGGTTGTTTTCACTCAACAGACTTTAAACGCTGAAAGGATGCTGCAAGGTTCGATATTAGACAGACTACACTAAATCCTTACGATACCCTGAAGGTACATCATAAAGAAATACCTGCTTTAAAAACTCACTGTGAAGAACAGTGGAGACAAACTCCTACAAAATGTGGTAACTACAGCATCACATTAAGGCACTCACATGGTTGAGAACCTCTAGAGACAGGATGAATTTGGTCATAGAGACTCACTATTTTTTCCTGGAAACGTGGAAATGGAAGATAAATATCATACCTATTACATTAGGCAGTGTTATAAAATGAAATTAATTATTCCAGTAGGTAAGATTTTCTGGTATTATGATTTGACACTAGTAACTAGTGTGACGTGTCTAGTCCTCTCATTGGTGTAGGCTGAATTCTATCAGTCAGGTCGTAACGTGACCACCATTATAGGTAGCTCGCCGTCACGGTGCACATTGATTTGATGATATTAGATGGTTGGAGGCAATCGGCAGGAAGCCTTGAACCTAGGTTTCGTGCTAGTTGCCACTCCTCAGCAAGGCGTATCTGCAACCTTGAAGGAACTCATGTCCCTTCTGAGATTCGAACCCGCGTCACCCAGGGCCGCAGTCAGAGACGTTACCACTGAGCTATTCGGGCTCGCGGTTGACCCCCTGTAGGACTGTAGTGGATATTTTGATTTAACACTAGTAACTAGTGTGTTCTGTCTAGTCCTCTCATTGGTGCAGGCTGGTGTCAAGTGACACCAAAAAAAAACTTAAAATCATTTGAATTGAGACAATCTTCTTCTTTACTTCGGCTATCTCCTACGGGAGGATGAACCGGCTTCATGAACATCTCGAATGTTTGTAAGAGAGTTGATGAAGTTTCACGGAATTGGGTACGAGTGATGTCCCCAGCATCGCTCGGACAATAACTGATGGGGAAGTGATATATATATATATATATATATATATATATATATATATATATAGTGAGTAGATTGAATCACAACTAAGTACGTAAAAATGTTCACATAGCATAGCTGGGGCGAACGATGTATTGTCGCAAAATACATTTGCTTAGTCTCGATTCGATCTTTGTAAGTTATATCTGTCTCCACTGGTCTTCAATCTTTTGATGACATACAGCAAGGTAAAATGAGTTAATCAGTTAGGTCTTAATTCGCTTACCAGTCTAGGCTCAAGATACTCAGTTCCATGAAATAAAACAAAATAGAGAATCACTGGTATTGTAGAGTAGTTGCTTCCTGAGGCAATCCACATGGACTACGAGACAATGTAAACTCGTTGCAGACTCGGCCAGACACAAATTCTATGTCCATTTAGCTAGCTAGTATTAGGCGGGTCAGATAACTTCATTAGTCTAAGACTAGTGTACCGGCATCTTATATGATAGGTTTTTAGGGTAGTACAGTTACATAAAGCATTTCGTCATTCGGCTTAAATATACTCTGTAGCAACCAATTTCCATGACAGAATAACGCACTTATTTGTTATAAGGAAACAGAACCATCGTATAAGACTGCATGAATGCACTTTAAGTACGTATAAGCATCAATTACTATAATAGTTAATAACGAACATTCACAATGTGACCTAGTTTTCTATTGGCTTCTACAAATATATCTTAACGAACAAATGCATACTAAAACATCAAAAATACCTACCATAGCTGACTCGTTGGTAAAGACTACAACTTCATAGTGGGGAGAAAGCTGCTGCAAAAACAATTCCAAAGCCGGTCTTTTCTTAAAACGCCAACCCGTACGAAACTACAAACCCTGTAATAAAGGCCACTGAAATTTTACCTTCCAATCTGGGTGCACAAGAACATCAGTCATTTCTAAGACAAGTGTATAAGGAGGTTGGTAATACGGTGGTTGCACTGGGTCTGGGAGAAGCTTTTCACTGACGGGATCTTTGATACTCTGAAGAAAATTAGCCCATTAAATAAAGTACCAACCTGATTAAATGCCAATAAAGAGCTCCACGTCCTGCAAATGTAGCCGAAAATCAAGGGCACTGAGGTCTAATAAATACAAGTGGATGGCTTACTTCGGCTAAATTTGTCTTCAATCTAATCGGTAAATATTAGAAGGTTATTTACTTACTTCAACGCCATTTTCATCCTTTTGAGGAGGACCTAGCAACGGAAGATGAATGCTTATCATGAATTACCCCAAGTTGCAACAGCAAATCCGAAGCTGAATAGTCCAGAACACGACAAAGTAATAAAACCTATTTTCCAAGCATTTTTGCCAGTCCAATTGGACTGTTGAGTCTTTTCTCCTGAGGAATCATTGGAAGTCTGGGAGTAGTATGCAATGCACCTTCCGAAATATCGGCATCTATCAGCTTTAAGGAGAGCTAAACGTTTGGACGCTGATAGCAACATAAACTCCGATCACGTTCCTCTATATTTATATCAGCCGCCACGTCATTCAATAGCATTTCAAAAGGTTCTGTCCAGACCTCACGAATGATAGCCTAAATCTACTGATCACTTTAGTCGTAACTCTTTGAAACTGTTCTTCTGCGTCTGATTCATATTTGAAACATGGTTGGCTGTCTGGTCTCAATACACTCAATTATGTTTGATATAATTGGCACATAATTTGCGGACTTATTTTGTTAACTAAGGACAGAAGGATTGGAGGCCAAGTTAACTCTTTTCCAGTAAGTTTCTGGGCTTGCCTAAACCCTTCTTGAATGAATCAATTGAGGTAGGTGAAACCGCTTCTTATGATAGTCGGTTCCGGGAGTTTGTGACTCCTCGTGAGAACCACTGCGACACAGTCCCTTGTCTTTCACACTCTCCCCTCATGTTCTCTCAGATCTTCTGACCTGGTGGGAACATAAAGGAGGAAATGCATCCTGTAGTCATCTTTCATGAGACCTCTCTCTTTGGTATGACAAGGAGAATAGAATTAGACCGTCTTATCTTCCAAAACAGGATAGATTGGTCATAATTACTGAGTTCCTATGAACCCTCCCTAGAATGTGTGAGTCCCTGTCTAGGTGCAGTTTATTAAGCCCTGAACTCCATTCTTCGGACCACTCCGACAGCTTCTTCTGATGTGAGCTTGTCATTGTAACACTTAAGCTGTCTAAGAGTTTTTGAGTATTGTGAGCCAAGGACCTCAGGGAATTCGGAGAGCACAGGGAAATAAGAAGGGCCCAAACACGGTGACTTGTTACACTCCGCTGAATACTGTTGTCCAGTAGAGTTTTGAGTCGATCCTTACTCTGTTGTCTATAAGGAATTCCCCGATCCACATTATTAAGCCGCCTCTGATTCCAGGACATTGCGGCTTCGTTAGCAGTCTCGGGCGAGGTGCTGTGTTGAACACTTTCCTGAAGTCTATGAAGCTGACCCCCACAGGTTATCTGTCTTCTTAGCTTTATACCGTAAAAAGGTATCGCAAGCATGAGATTTTTCTCCGGAACCCACGGTGTCCGCTGGACAACGGGCTGTTGTTTTTCAGGTATGCCATGATAGCCTTCTGGATAATTTTCCTGGTATCTTGGCCAATATGCTTGTAGGACTGATAAGCCTGTAGTTTGGAGGACAGCGTCTGAACTCTCCTTTGTGGGTGGGTTGCTATGACATCTCTCCAGTAAAACTGTAATACTCTACCTAGGAGAAATAGCTCGAATTTCGTAGTCAATGGGCTGGCTTTGTGGCCTGTAGCTCCCTGAGACGCCTCGGATGAAGATTACCAGGACTCATTGATTTCCTTGCATCTAGTTTCTTCGAGCACTTGAACACGACCTTCCAGTCAACGTCAACGCAGCCTATCCTGTATTATTCTGATGCGGTCAGAACTGATACTATAGAGAGGGATGGCTCCTGTGTGAACACTTTGGAGAAGTAATCTGCCATTTCTTCTGCTTCTTCCTGGTCCTCTTCGATTGCGTCGTTGTCAATAGTCAGGTTTGGGGCCCCAATGGAAGTCTTACTTCTGGAGTTCATTTACGAGGAAATTTTTGTAGACCTTGCTTTCGCATTTTGAGGCAGGTTCACTCCGAACTTCATCCTTGATTAGCGGACTTCTGAGACAACGAAGTTGTACAACTATCTGGCTTTAAAAGTCTCAAGCACGATGAGTAAATTCCAGCATTTATGTTAACATCAGAGTAATTTATGAATCTCCAGGGTAATGTTTTCACCCCTTCGGACGGCGCAAGGTCCTGTAACGGTAAATAATTCTCCAAAATTATTGACCACAGCAATCACTCACCACTGGATGCTGACCGCCACTGTTTAAGTCGACTTGTTTAGCTGAAGGCTTCCGGTCAAGCATCCCCACTATTTGGTACCCCGTTGTGTCACGTGCACGATCACTAGCCAGCTAAGCGTTCGTCTGACGAATTGTTTCGGTCCCGAAATATATCACGTAGTTTGGACGATCAAATATTGGCTTTTGCTTTGTTTTTGGTACACGAGAATTAATAAGTTAGAAGTAGCTGTATGAGAGATTGCGCCAATATACTCAGTACTGTGCGCTAACGTCTATACCGTCAACCTCTAAACTGGTGAGCCCAACCGCGAACTTCATCCACGATAAATCCGCAGATAACCCCGGTGAGTTCGTTCCATATTGTATTGGTTCTCGTACCATATATTATTCGACATTATTTTCGTCATGAGTGATCTTAGTCCCAAGGTCATTCGTATCCGCTCAATTCCTAAAACCATTCAGCCCGTACCACACTGGCCAGATAATGCTGAAACGTGGTTTCAGATAGCTGAAGCAGGTTTTTATGAGCACGGGATAACCGATCAACGTTCACAGTTACTTGCAGTTATTCACGCCCTACCGCGGGAATTCAGCAAGTACATAACATCACAGGCGTTCAGTCCCGAGGTAAGTAACTCGTACGAATTGCTCAAAGCATCCATCCTCAGGAGAAACTTTCTCACAGACCGACAACGTCTGGACGAATTATTTCGTAACATCGAGTTAGGAGATCAGTCAGCCGTGAGCATGCTGACAAGAATGAGAGAAGTTATTGGCCAAAGTCAGTTCGACGAAGGACTATTTAGAGAACTCTTCTTAACCAAGCTGCCACAGTCTTTACAGACCGTACTTGTGACACTTCAGGGTGTTGGAATAGATGACTTAGCTATTTCTGCAGATAGGATTCTAGAAATAACTAAACGGTCAGTTCCCGAAATATGCTCGATGACTATGCAGGCTTCAAGTAAGGATCCTGCAATGATAGAGTTATGCAACTCCATCCAGCAGATGTTTAGGTCAAACATGCATTCTAACTCATCCGACCATCGTCTTAAATCTCCTCAACCCAGGAACTCACGTTCTCTGAGAAACCCCGATTGGTGCTGGTACCACAACACCTATGGTCAAGAAGCGAAGTGTTGCCGTAAGCCTTGTAACTTCGGAAATGTCTCAAAGTCTGTGGGAAACTATCCCGCCAGCATGCGTTAGCGGCAGCCGTTGCCGGTTGCACTAGCCGGCGCACACCTGATATCTATGGTCGGCCTGCAAAATTTGGGCTACCGATATCCATGCTGAAAATTCCATACTTGTACCAAAAATACAGTTTGGAATCAAGCTGTAAATCAAAAAAAAATTTACATCCATGGTGTGATTAGCCAGACTCGATACTTAGTCGACACAGGAGCCGAAGTCAGCGTCCTTCCTGCTACAGCAGCAGATCGACAGAAGGAACCTACCTTCAACTTACAGGCTGCAAATGGAAAACCAATCGCAACCTTTGGTAGGAAATACGTCTATCTGAACGTAGGTTTACGCAAACCTATTCGGTGGATTTTCCTTCTCGCTGACGTTACAATGCCCATCATTGGCACGGACCTACTTAATCATCATGATTTACTCGTAGACGTCCGCCGAAAACGACTGATTGACAATACTACTAGTCTGTCTATCAAAGGCATCAGCTACATAGGCCCTAGTTTGTCACCCGTTAAGATAAAGGCAATCTTGATCCAACTTTTCAACCTATTGTTGACAAGTATCCGGAACTTAATTGCCCGTCGAACGACCTACCGTGCATAACCAGCAATGTTATGCACCACATCATTACCACAGGACAACCTGTGACATCTAAAGCACGACGATTAGCTCCTGACAAACTGAGAATCGCCAGGAATGAATTTGACCATATGCTTACCCTTGGCATCATTCGACCTTCGAATAGCCCATGGGCATCCCCACTTCATATGGTTCCGAAAAAGGATAGCAATGATTGGCGACCCACCGGTGATTACCGGCGAGTGAATGCCAAAACAACCCCTGATTGCTACCCGTTGCCTCATATACACGACTTGACGGCAACCTTATCGGCGCGACTATATTCTCCAAAATCGACTTGGTTAAAGCGTATAACCAAATCCCGATGGCAACAGAAGATATCCCGAAAACGGCTATCATTACGCCTTTCGGACTTTTTGAATTTCTACGTATGCCATTCGGTCTCCGGAATGCAGCCCAAACATTCCAACGCTTCATTGACGAAGTATTTCGCGGTCTCGACTTTGTATACGCATACTTAGACGACTGCCTCATTGCCAGTCCAGACAAGGAAACTCACCTTAGGCACTTGGACTTGGCATTTGAAAGGTTACGCCAACATGGTGTTACCATTAATATTCAAAAGTGTCAAATCGGTGTTGACTCACTCGACTTCTGGGTCACACTATTGACTGCAAGGGCATTCGCCCACTGGCTACTAAGGTCGAGGCTATACTGAACTTTCCAGAGCCACAGACGGTGAAAAGTCTCCGCACTTTTAACGGCTTAGTAAGTTATTATCGACGCTTTATTCCCAACTGTGCCTCTTTGATTCAGCCATTGACAGACCTCCTTCGAGGGAATAACAAGTCCATAGAACTTGACGCGTCTGCTCGAAATGCTTTTACCCAGATTAAAAAAGCTATTGCGAATGCCACACTTCTGATGTATCAGGATCCAACGGCACCGTTAAGTATCTCGGTTGATGCATCAAACACTGCAATCGGCGCAGTTCTACAACAGCTAGTTGACAAAGAGTGGCAACCACTCGCCTTTTTCTCCAGGCGCCTTCAATTAGCTGAAACGAAGTACAGCACATTCGGCAGAGAACTTCTGGCTATGTACTGTGCTATACGACATTTTCGACATTCAGTAGAGGGTCGTGAATTCATAATTTTTACTGATCACAAACCTCTGACGTACTCTCTGAACTCACCTTCAGATAAGTATTCACCCGGGGAATCACGACAACTGGATTACGTTTCACAGTTTACATCAGATATTCGCCATGTATCCGGAGTAAACAACACTGTGGCAGATGCCTTGTCGCGCGTTTGTTCCCTCACCCAAATCGACGGCATAGACCTTGTAAAACTGGCTCGTCTTCAAAAAGAAGATACCGAGCTTCAACATGAGTTGTCGAAAACAACTCTACAATTAGCTGAGAAACCCTTAGGTATGGGAAGAGATACTATTCTATGCGACATTTCCACGAGTACTCCTCGCCCCATCGTGCCTAAAAGTTATCGCCGTAACGTCTTCAATACGTTGCATGGCTTATCTCACC